AAAGACGCAGGGATTTTACAGAAAAGAGAAAGCGACGCCCTTGTCTTGGGCAGAAAAAAACAGTAGTTATCTCTTTTTTGGTAACGGGACAGGCGATCAATACAGATCCGTAATCAACCTAAAAATAAGGGCGAGATCCCACTTATGATTCGACTTTCATACCGCCTTTCCCGCGCAGTCCATACTGGAGTCGATATTGAGCTGCGAATCCCCTTATGCCCCTTATTACATCACTGGAGCACAGAGAGAGTGATACTTCACTCATCCTCCGTTATCTTTTTCTTTAGCCTAGAAGCAGCGCACACAAAGAAGAAACAACGTATTCAATATCTTTTTTCTACAACATCGTCCTTCAACTTTATTATTTTTTCTTCATTCGCTCTCTGATGCCCGAACCTTTTCTGGAGCCTTGCAGTATCTTTTTTCTCAATGGATAAGGAAAACTGTCTTCACCACAGAGTCGTTTTTTGGTGGTCTCTTTGGCCGGCAACGGCCTCTTTTTCAGTTTTTCAGCTGCAGGAGGCCATCCACTGGCACAGTATTTCCGAACACTTTCGTATCACCTTTTCGTAGCGTCCTATGTGTTCTTGAGTGTCATGGGGCGTCTTGCCCAGCGATCTGTGGGGGTGATCTCACTCGCCATTTTTGGCGACGTGGAACAATCTGACATGGTTTGCCATCTTGTTGAGGTTTTTCAGCAGTGTTTCCACTGAGCTGTAAATTTTTTTTCGAGCCTTGTGTTTGATGCTCCATAAGAGCTGTTCCAGTAGCCACTTGTATGTCATCCGATGCCATGGCTTCTAAATAGGGTGCGAGGTGGTTGGCAATGTCGTTGACGTAGACCTTTTCCGAACTAATAAACAGAAATACATCGGAAATTGAGCTCTATTTCCTGGAAGCTTCGCGATACTGTATGTGATTGCCGTAATATTTCCATCAATCAGCATGCTGATCTTAGAAGGCTTCGTGGTGTTGAGAGGTAATGCTTTTCATCGCAGCTTGATAGATACCGCACACACGAACGCTCCCTCGTCATCTTGAATTGCCTCATGGTAGACGTCACGCCTTCTGCCAATTCTAGGTTCTCTTGTGCAGACATCGCACAGACTCTGCAACGATGTCTTTACGCTAAATCGAATTTCGATCAATACGTATTTCGAAAATCTTTATTTGGCTGTGATTTTGTAAAAGTTGACGTTTCTTTTACTGGACCACTTCCAGGTAACGACTACTTGTTGCAACACTAGGTTCGAGCCGGCTTGGCCCCCATGTAAAGTTTTGTGTTGTTGGTAAAACCCGAGGCATGCGAGTATCGACACTCAAATAAAATGTGACAACAAATCTGTTTTTTTTTCTACAATAAAAAAAGAACAACAATAAAGAAACTAGCGATATGCACAAAACACAACTAAACGGCGAAGTAGAACAACACTTTGATAGAAAGAAAGTGCGCAGAGGTCCTCAAAAAGAGAGAAAGCGACTTCCTTTCTCAAGCGAAAAATAGCTTTTATCCCTTTTTTGAAAAGGGAGAGGCGCTCAAT